GGCGGATCGCAGGGCAGCAACATAGGCACTCACGGACTCCCCCTCAGCTTGGCTGCGCTGATGGAATGCGTGCCGGCTGGCTATCTTGGAAGGGGACGGAGCATAATGGCTCGTCAGCTTCGCCATTAGCTCAGGCCACGGAACGGCCTTTATAGGTTCAGGAGCTGTCAGAGCCCTGGCTGTGTGGAAAACGTCTGAGCCACACATGGACAAGAAAAACGCACATTTCCTCTCATCTGTCAGCTCGGTGAGGTCGTGTGCGACCAGGAAGCACTCAAATCGAGCCGTGTACGACTCCCATGTTTCAGCTCCGTAGTTGAATGGCGCGAAATTTAACGTGGCCATTCCTGTCAGAACCACGACGTCTCGTCGCGGTAGAATTAAGCGCGGTTCTAGTGACTCAGCGAGTGACTTCAGCTGTAAGTGACTTCAGCTTCTCGTACCTCAGTTTGGCGATCCCATCCTCGTCGCCAGTGGTGTGTACCAAGACCCGTGGGTAGCCAAAGGACTGAGGCAGAGACAGGAATAAAAGGCTAACAAGTTTATTCCCTTAAGTACAGGCTAACATTTCAGAACCGGCTTAGATAGGAACGCGCGCTGCTCGTTTGGACAGCTCCCTATTTATACAGGAGCTGTCAAACGATCAGCCAATCAGCTGTCGAGCGCTTTCCCGCTCAAACTTCTAGTCAGCGCAAGCTCAGAACACAACACCCATGACTCAAGAATGGCGGGATACTTTGGTTTTGTGAAAACATTGCATTTGGTTAAAAGGCAGTTTTGGTGGCCTTCCTTGAAAAAAACCAGAATCCTACATAGCTAGTTGTTCTGTTTGTGCAGCAGCAAAGAGACCACCAGGGAAGCCTCAAGGACTACTTCAGAGTGTTGCCTGTCCTGTTGCACTGTGGAAGGAGATATCGATGGATTTTTATTGTCGAGCTGCCAGAAAATCTTGGAAATACTGTCAAATGGGTGATCACTGATTTGCCAGAAAATCTTGGAAATACTGTCAAATGTTTGATCACTGATTTGTTCTCCAAACAAATACATTTTTACCCAGTTCCAAGATCCTATCAACGAAGACAATGACTAAACTGTTTATTTTACATGTGTATAGGTTACATGGGGTTCCTAAATGCATTATTTCAGATAGGGGGTCCAATTCACCTCTCTATTTTGGAAAGAGTTCCTAAAGTTAATAGGCTCCACCCAGGGATATGTACATGTTTGTGCCTTTTTGGCTCAGATCTTGCTTTCCTTTGGCTGCTATCTTTTCATAACCAGTAAAAGTATCTTTATCTCTACAAAAATGGAGTTGGCAGCTTTCTTTCTTGGTTATTGAGGGAGGCACGCCTGACAGGGAGTATATATGAGTTGGACCTTACCATATTACTTCATATGTACACATATACCCCTTTCTAGTTTAATATTTTCCAAAAATATTTCCCAAAACTCTGAAGGTTTTATTAGTTCCATATTAATTTTCTCAAACTAACAAGGAATAGGATATTGTCAGAGGAAGAAAAGGCCTAGAAACATTCTTATTTTAGTTTTAGACAGAACCAACCTCCAGTGTTTTGCATTTTCCATTTAGCCTGCTGCACAGTCGCTGATAATTCTTAGTTAAAACATCAAGTTCTTTTTTCAAAGCCTCATGAGCTGCAGGTGGAGCACTTGCTATAAAATTGTTCACAGAATCAGTGATAAATTTTACTTTAATCTCTTTCTGTTGAGCCTCTTCTTTTGCTCTCTGAAAAACAGAAATGTAGAATAAATTTTATACCCATAAAATGTCATACAAATAAAAAGGTAACAGCCGGGGTTTAAAAAATGCAGTATACTCTCCTGAATTTGCATGACATTAGCTGTATTAAGAACATAAGAATAATACAGAAAATTCCATTTAATCAATAGCAGAATTGTGTTGGCAATGATTGGTTGAAAATGATATGTTTACACATTAAAAAACAAGATATAAAATACCTGGAATGTCCTAAATTAGGAAAATTATATGCAGCATCAGCAGAAGAAAAGAGAAAAGGGATAGCGACACATGTTAAAGATGGGATAAAGACAAATTTAATTAATGGAGACCCAAAGGGAAGAATATTAATGATAGACATGTGGATAAATAAAAAATTGGTATTATTGGTAGCAATATATGCCCCAAATGAAAATCAGAAGGACTTTTATAAAAAATTACACGAAAAAAATAGAGAAATTGGATTGAGGAATATTTGTATAATAGGAGATTATAATGCCATAGTGGACAGTAAAAAAGATTATGCAACTGACAAAAAGAAATAAAAATAAAAATAAAGTATTACCAACAACTTCACTACATGAAAATACCAACATGGCTTTCCATTATAGAAGCCATGACATATCCCAATACACTACATCTATCGAAAATGGTTAGATATAGTGAAATTTTAGACATTCAGGGGAATCTGAAAACAAATCAGGAATTAAAGGAGCAAAATATAAATATAGATTGGTGGCCATATCTTCAACTACAATCGAGGTACAAAAAGATGTAAAAGAATATGGAATGTACACAGAATTACAACAAACAGATAAAATTTTAACAGGCCTGGAAGATAAATTCATAACAAAAATGTACAAATATTTATTAGAAGTAACATTGGAAGAAGTAGTAGTTAAAGTTTGCATGATAGCGTGGTCCAAAAATTTTGGACAAAATATAGATCTAGTGGATTGAGAAAGAATTTGGAACACAAATTATAAACTAACATGATCAGTAGCATTCAAAGAAAACATGTACAAAATGTTCTATCATTGGCATTTACCACCAATGAAATTGGCCAAAATGTACCCGAACATGAATCCAAGCTGCTGGAAGTGCCAAAAAAAAAAAAAAACCCGCAAGGGACTTTCTATCATATATGGTAGACCTGTCTGGAAACTCAAAAATATTGGATGAAGATTTGGAAATGGATACAACAAATTACAGAGGAACAAATAGAATACAAACCGGAACTCTTTCTCTGGGACTAACCAAGGAGAAATATAAATACATACTAATACACATGTTGACTACAGCTGGAATAACATTTGCCCAATGCTGGAAACAAAGTACTGTGTTTTTCGGAGCATAAGATGCACTGGAGTATAAGATGCACCAAGATTTTTTAAGAGGCAAATTTTTTAAAAAGGTTTTGCACTCTGAAGACCTCCCCAAAATGTCCCGTTTTTCGCAAAAATGGACCCATTTTTATTCAAAAAAGGGCATGAATAGCCTTTAGGAGGCTTGTAGAGTGCTCCTGGGGGTTGGGGGGCAAAAATGAGCAAAAGAATGGCCCATTTTTCATGAAAACAGGGCCATTTCCTGTCAAAAAAAGGGCATGCATAGCCTTTAGGAGGCTTGTAGAGTGCTCCTGGGGGTTGGGGGGCAAAAATGAGCAAAAGAATGGCCCATTTTTCATGAAAACAGGGCCATTTCCTGTCAAAAAAAGGGCATGCATAGCCTTTAGGAGGCTTGTAGAGTGCTCCTGGGGGTTGGGGGGCAAAAA